AATATGAACTTTTGGCTGCCCTTCCTTTGTTGGCACCATAGAAGGAGCTTTATTGAGATCACACTAATGCTGACATCTCTCATAGTGCCCAGTTATCAGTGTGAAAGTACATCAGTTTGATAGCAGGTTATTTACAGTCTCCCTTTAAGTCACGGGCTTGAGTTGAAAGCCAAGTCCAGCATGCTCCCCACTTAGTGATAGGACATGGCACTACTAACACTATCTGTGCCTGATACAGAGTTAGGGAGTGTCTGTGCTAGACCACACAGCACAACCTGGTGTGCAGAGCAATGCTACCACAGCCCACGCAGCCCAGGCTCTGGAGTTCACAGGGCTTCTGGTATGAACGAGGCAGCAACTCAGATGCAGACACACTTTGTGAGATGATGGTATCAGCCCAGCTACTCTCTACCTGGAGCTCTCAGAATTATTTTGTTTCAAAAAGCAACTGTTAAGTGCTATTCAGACTTCAGCCCATGTTAAAAGGTTTCATTCTAGCCTCCCTTTAAACTAAAATGGATCACAGCAGTACCACTATGTTTAAATCAAGCAACTGATCACAAAAACTTGGCAAGAATGTTGTTCATGTTGAAGCTAAGCAGCCATATATTAAAGAAGTAAAAACATTACAAGTTACAGAAATAGGAGGAAAATGAGCTTTAATTGCCACAGGATAACAAGCAGGAACAGTATGCTTATCAAATAAAGGAAACAAAGAAACCATTTCAAGAAGTACCTTTATATCAAAGGTTGACCCTGCAGAGAAATGGAAAATAACTTTGAAGTACTTCTGATTATATCACATTCTCTCTGCACCACCATCCCACAAAACGCCCATGGGGAATTCTGTGAATAATTTCCCCAGATGCCTTGCACACCAGCTGGTCAGGATTAAACATCTTGCCCATGGCACCTTTTAGACCTTGAGGACTGGGATTTTTGACAGTGGGACGCACAGTGTACAATTGTGTATGCCCCATGTGTTTAGGATAATCTAGAGCCCCAGAAACACTGTTAAATCTATCTATAGTTGTGATAAGGGTTAGAAGAAATCTACAGCATCCTTCTAGTTTCAAAGTTACAGCCCTAGAATTTCTTCAACAATATACTCAGAAAATATTTGAGACTTGAATGCTGAAATTTTTTTGTCTTTTTGTTATTTGAAGCATATAGTACATAGAAATCACAGGCCTACTTGCAGAATACCAAGTGCTAGCAAGCACTTCACATCACATACCCAAAGCACCAGAACTCTGCAATTAACATGTTTACACAATGGGGACAGTCACATATCCGCCTCACTGCCAATGGCACCACGCAAGCGAAGCAAAGTAAAGCATAAAGGAAAGGGTCATTTTTTTTTCCCCATAAAGGAAAAAAAAAATCCCTAAACAAACACTGTTTTGTTTTCATTTGCATTAAAACACACTGAAAGATGAATTTTCATGGTAGAGCTCAGAACAGATTTTAAAATGTGCATTTGGATTAAGTCAACAGTTTACTCTTAACACGTTTTTAAGTGACCTGTCCAGATGAAAAAATTCTATGAAGACCATGTAGGTTCTTTCATTATTGGAATAAGTACTTTTGACTTGCTAATCAGGGGAGGACTTCAACTATCTTGAAAGACAGCAAATTATCCTCTGGCATGACATTAGTGTTTCAGCAAAATACATGGCAATTTCTGTATTTTGGATAGAAGTATAACCCACAGGCTTCAATTATAAGCTAATCTCTGGAAAAAAAGCAAAGATCTCCTTGAATACAATAGCTGACAGCTACAGTACATTTAATGCTGTTTAATGGTTGCCATCAGCACATCAACTTATTTTGCTCATATGCTACTGTTTAAAGTATAAAAAGATTACACATCTAATTAGATTCTAATTAAGAACGCTTCCTGTTCAGAAAAACATGTTTTGCTAACAAGTACAGAAACCTGTAGGATGAAAATGTTGTTTTCCTACACAATCATATTTACTTCCTGGTAATTACTTAAAGATGGTGGTTTTCTGTTATCAGCTTTATTGTTTGTATTATCCTTCAAAAAAATTGCAGGAACATTTTAAGAAACAGGAAAAAGGCATACAGCAGCCTTATGCATAATCAAATGCAGTGATTTAGCTCAGTGATACTGAAGATGTATCATGCCAAAGTAGGTTAACTGCTTGTATGCTGCCTTATGAGACTTCCAGTGCACAATGAGAAAAAGTTTAGTAAGATGCTTAAGTTGACTTACAAAGTCCAAAAAGAAATAATTCTCCATCTCTTTATGACTGGATGTAAAAGCCTTTTCCTAATATCACCCACATGCACACAGAGCTAAGCACATTAACTTTTATTGTTTTCTAGGACTGATATTTAGAATTTAAATCTGTATTAGCTTGTACTGTAGGTCCAGCATCTGAAACATTTTCTTCCACTTACAGAAACAAGATGAGGGCCTCAAACTTACTTAAAACTCATATGAGGTAGGTAGAACCATTGTGGCTTCATCTGAGAAACATAATAAGATGCATAACAGCAGATGCATTAGTTTTGACACAGTGTGAGGTAGTTTGTGGAAGAAATTGGGGTACATTGTGCTTTCTAAGAGAAAATACACTGTCATGGCAAAACATGCAATTCCTGGTGGTATTTAACAGCTAATTCCAGCTGAAAATGCGATTTGCACTTAGAGATTAAGAAACTTTTGGATGAAGATTCAGTTCACCTGAATAATAAAGCTATAAATAAATTTCTCATTGCTTGGAAATTCCCCCTCCCCAACCTACTCAAGCAAGGAACAACCTAACTCCTCTAGGTTCTCTCTCAGCACTATACAAACAACTCCAATTAAGTCAAGGATGTTACTCTTCTTTAATCTCTTCTAGTTTTCCTTTATGGGATTTACTTCAAGCAATCGACCAAGACACACGAATAGAAATTGCAGTACACAAGTTAGTGATCAAGTATAGTAAATAACAGTGGGTTTTAACAGCAAACTTTGTCTTTTCCTATGCCTGCTTTTATCTGATATGAGAATAAACTGAGCATCTGTTGACTGACTTTCTGCATTTCACTAGAACAGGAAATATAATAGTATGAACAACAACAAAAAAGTAAATCAATCATCATGCCCTGCTGTCAGGCTGGTGATTATACATAAACACAACTCCCTATTATTGTAAAGTCAATCTAGACAAACACTGGACTGGACATGTGGTGTTTTGGAGCTAAGAAGTTGTCAAACTAGATTTGAAAATTAGTATTTATGAAACCAAGAGGTCACTTCAGATTAAATGTTTAAATGCAAAAGTGTCATGCTGTTACTCCTGTGGGTTAAAGGGTAAGTCTATACACTCAATGCATATCAACAACAAACAATAAAAAACTGATACTCTTAAACATCCCAGCTTTATCCTCTCTACCCTTACCCAACTGAGCAGGCTTCCCTGGGCTACCAGGTTTGGACACTGCAATAAGTTAGATACCAAAGTATATAGAGCAATTGGGAATTACAACCTCTTAAAATTTTCCAGTACTATTAAAATGTATGAATTTATAGTCCTATAGCACAAACAGCATAAAAACTCTTTGAAGTCCTTATGAATGTCATGAAGTTCAGCAAGGTCAAGTGGAAGGCCCTGCATCTGGGACAAGGAAATCCCAAGCCAAAAACAGACTGGGTGGGGAACAGATCGAGAGGAGCCCTGGAGTGGAGGATTTGGGGATGTTGCTGGATGAAAAGCTCAACATGACCCAGAAATGTGCACTTGCAGCTCAGAAAGCCAAACATCCTGGGCTGCATCAAAATCAGCCAGCCAGCAGGGCAAGGTTGGTGATTCTGCCCCTCTGCTCTGCTCTGGTGAGTGCCCAGCTGGAGTTGCTGTGCCCAACTCTGGGGTCCTCAGCAAAAGAAGGATGTGGATCTGCTGGAGCAAGTCCAGAGGAAGGTCACAAAGATGATCACAGGGCTGCAGTACATTGCCAAAGAAGAGAGGCTGAGAAAGTTGGAGTTGCTCCACCTGGAGAAGAGAAGGCTCTGGGGAGAACTTAGAGCATCCTTCCAATACTTAAAGGGGACCAACAAGAGAGCTGGAGAGGGACTTTGTACAAGGGCATGTTGTGATAGGACAAGGGGAAAAGGCTTGAAACTGAAAGGGTAGGTTTAGATCAAATATTATGAAGAAATTATTGAAATTCTTTACTGTGAGGATGGTGAGACACTGAGACAGGCTGTCCAGAGAAGCTGTGCATCTCTCATCCTGGGAGTGTTCAAAGCCAGGTAGGATGGGGCTTTGTGCACCCTTTGGTCTGATAGAAGGTGTCCCTTCCCATGGCAGGGTGGCTAGAATTAGATGGTCTTGAAGGTCCCTTGCAGTCCAAACCATTCTGTAATTCTATGATTCTAGGGTTGGTGATAATACATAAGCAACACTCAATTTTGTTAGTCATGACAAAATTTTCTATCCAGTTTGGTTTTTCTTTATGAAAAGAGCTAGAAACTAGATTTTGAACTGAATTGCAAGCTTAAAAAGAAGGGTTCAGGTTGGGGGTAGGGTTGCCATCCTTGCATAGAGGGCATTGTCTGTTACAAATAAAGAGCTCATTAGGAAGGAAGTGCTGAGTGTACCATGCAGTACCAAAACAATTACTTTGTTAATATGCAGATCCAGTGAAGCCAAATTTGAGTCTTGTACTAACAACAGTGCCTGGTATCATTAGACAAAGGAATATTTGCAGTCTAGGCAGTATGTTATAAAAGGAACGCAAACACAAGGACTTAAATTTATCCACAATTAGATAGCAAGGACCCAAGATAGTCTTATGGAAGCTCAGGCCACCTATCCACTAGCACTAATAATACACAAACATTGGTATTTTAGGTTCAGTGCTGCTGCTTCACTCCACTCCTGATACCTCCTCTGGGGAAACTCTTTACTTACATAATTTGCCAATACCACAACACAAAAGTCAGTTCCATTTAAACAAATAAATATAATAAGAAACAAACTTACTTCTTTGGTCCCTGAGGATCGACGTGTTGCTCTAACATTAGAAATGTTCCTTGAGCTAGCTGGAGTCGCCAATGGAAGAGTAGTAGAAAGCTGAGGAGGACTCAAAGACAACAAAGGCAATCTGGTATCTCCTAATATGCACTGCTTGGAATTAGAATTTTTACTGGTGAAGCTCTTATTTTTACTGTTTCCTGAATCTGTGTTACCAAACTCTGTTTTCTCCTTATTCTTGATTCTTCTCAAGCAGTCCTTTAGTATTAGCTGAGTGGCAGGCTGACTCAACCAGCACAAAAAGAGTTCATCCACCTTCATTTTCACTGCAGGTTGCAGAACTTTTCCAGGTGACATTTTCTGCCAGTTTCCCTGTTTTGTTGGTTCAAATTCAAAGTAAATATTTGACAATCATATAGATATTCCATTCACCTTTCAGTGTTTCACAGGCATTATTTAACAAAGTTAATATTGATTCCCTCAAGACACCAACAGAAGCTGAGAGTTATATTTTAACATGCGACATCAACAACATTTTATAAGTGTAAACCATAAATCAGTCAGAGTCAATTCCAATAATTTCTTTTAAATAATGGATAACTTATTTTAAAAGCATACTGTGTAAATGGTGGAGACTAGAGAACAAGAAACTGCACTTGGGCTTTCACAAAGAGATAGCTAACAAATATCCTCTAAGAACATGTGTTAAAAACACATGTATTATGGAAAACAGAACTTGAAAATACTTATAATTGAACATACTAAGAAGCAAATATCTAAGCAGTTTATGCTAAACGCTGGTGATAAAATAAATAAAATTTAATAAGCAAGTCTTTCAGTGAAGAGATTTAGAACTAAGACAATTTTCATTCTGAGGTTGTGATATGGATTCCACATCTTACATCCCCCCATGTGAGGGATTCCCAAAGCCTTGCCATTTGATATTTTAAAACCTCTTATTTGACATTCACTTTTGCAGCTTTTCAAAACCAATGTAAAATCCTATGTAACTCAAGAACTGCGCCAGTGTGATTTCAAGTTCAGATACTCACTCACCTGAAAAAAAACAGGTTTTTGGTGTTTTTTAGTTTTTCTAGTTTTTTTTTTGTGTGCGTGTTAGAGAGACAGAGAACTGGAATGAAACACTGAGAACAGAACAAAATTTACTATAAAGGTTTTCAGCATCCAATTACTTCATGATTTGGTACAGTTCAAATAAAAATCTATGCTTCCTCATGTCTGTGTTTTTTTTTTTTTGCCCTTCACAAAATTTAACCTGTATACAAAAATCACATGATAAAAGATACATGATTGATGATCTCAGACGTCTCTTCAAACCTAAATGATTCTATATACAAGTACTTGGCTGAACAAGCCTTAAAACAAGCACTTCAATTTGGAACCGAATAACACCTAGCAAGCGAACATCCTACTAAAACCTAAAGCTCATCCTCGTCCCACGGCAGAACGAGAAGGCTTTTAAAAGTGCACCACCTAAACTTTCCGAACCTCGATAACTTCGCAGTTCAGTTATTCTGTTTCTAAAAGTGAAGAAAACTCGTCTCCCTACTTTTTTAAGCTCAACACCGTCACGGCGCCGGCGGCTGCGCTCAGCCACCCTCAAGCGCCACCCGCCTCGAAAGGAACGGTCCTGGGCAGGGGCCAGCCCGGCACCGCCCCGGGCACGGGGAGCCGGCGCTGCAGCCACAGGCTCGCTCCCCTCGGCCAAGCCCCGCACTGAGCCCCCAGCAGCAGCTCAGGAGTGCCGTGTATCCACAGCAGCAGCCAGCCACACTCACCTGCCCGACTCCACCTCCGCCACGGCCCCTTCCCGCCGCCGCCGCCTTCAAATGCGCGCCTCCTTCCGGCCCGGCCCGGCCCGGCCCGGCCACCGCCATCTCGCGAGAGCGCGGCCCTTCCGCCCCGCGGGACGCGGCCGCTGGTCGCCATGGCGACGGGCCAGACGGGGCCGCCGGACCGGCGCTGCCCTGCTCTGCCCTGCCCGGGCCTCTGCCACCGCCGCCACATGAGCGCAACTTAGAGCTCTGGCAAGGTCTCGGCGTCTCACGGGCTGCTCCTCACTGGCTCTCTGAGAGAAGCTGGCAAAGGGATGAAGGGGCAGAGTGTTTCCTTAGCAAGTTTGCTGATGGCGCAAAGCCGGGAGGAGTGGCCGATACCCCAGAGGGCTGTGCAGCCCTTCGGAAAGACCTCGACGGCTTGAAGAGAGGGTCAGAGAAGAACTGTCTGGAATTCAACAAAGGCAAATATAGGGCCCTGCACCTGGGGAGGAATAACCCTAGCACCAGCAGCTCTACCTAGAAGGACCTGGATGTCCTGGTGGACAACAAGCTGTCCCTGAACCAGCAGTGTGTCCTTGGGGATGAGGCCAGTGCTGTCCAGGGATGCACAAGGAAGAGCATTGACAGCAGGTCGAGGGAGGTGGTCCTGCCCCTCTACTCAGCCCTGTGAGGTCCCATCTGGAGTGTCTAGGGAGAGTGTATTTTCATGGGGGCACTGGCATTGCACCAGCGTCAACTCCCCAGCCCAAGAGATGTGAAGCTTCTGGAGAGGGTCCAGCAGAGGGTGACAAAGAGAGTCAGGTGACAGGAGCATCTCTGCTAAGAGAAAAGGCAGAGGCACTGGGCCTGTTCAGCCTCGAGAAGACATGACTAGGAGGGGACCTTATTAATGTGTATAAATATCCAAAGGGGGTGGGTCCAGACACTTTTGGTGATGCCAACCACTAGGACATGAGGCAAGGGCCAGAAACTGATGCACAGGAAGCTCCGCCTGAATATGAGCGAGAATGTCTTTACTGTGCAGGTGACCACACACACTGGAACAGATTGCTCAGATTGCCCAGAAAGGTTGTAGAGTCTCCCTCATGGAAGATGTACAAGAACCATCTGGATGCACTTCTGTGCCATGTGCTCTAGGATGACCCTGCCTCAGCAGAGAGGTTGGATCAGATGACCCACTGTAATCCCTTCCACACAATTTACCCATTCTGTGGTTCTGTCAAAGTGAGCTGGTTCCATCTGCTAAATGCTGTTAAAAGGAGAACACTAAATGCTCTTTCTACACAATGGCTATGGTTACCACTAGTGTTATGATAGGATGAAAGAGGAGGTGGAGGCAGTAACAAATAGAAGGATAATCCCCTTACTAAGAGAACGACGTGTGCCAGTCTGTTTGCAGCCCCTTTTTTGTACTGGAAAACGTACACTGGGATTTTGTGGTTGTCAGCTTTCAGGGCTGTCACCCTTTTGAGGCTCCCTGGGTGCACTATCAGTGGGGTTTAGGTGGTTGACCATTGGCCCATATAGTTTTTTCCTTTGGTATTTTTTACATCAGCGACTCATTGGTATTTTTACATCAGACTCCCTACTTCCACTGCACTGATTTTTCCTCATGTGGCTACGCTTCACTTTTGTTAATCCATTTTACATTCTGCCAATTCCTTTACCAGCAGAGACGCTCCAGATTTATGACAGGTTAATATTACAAATTGTTGGAACCTTAATGCTGTGGAAATGGGGCTGTACTGAAGATGATACAGTGGTTTGGAGGGAAGGCTTGAAAATGTAGGCAAGAGTAAAATAGGGTAAGTGAAGGAATGGGCTTGCTTTCTCATTTTTGGAAGCTTGTAGAGAGGACACAGAGAGAAGAAAGGGCTTAGAAGAAGCAAAAGCCAAGATGCTGTGAGAGAAATCTGGTACAGTCCAACACAATTACATTTAGCTAATACCAGATTGATATTTTGATAATAACAGTCATCTGGCAAAACCCAGTATTACTCTTCTGAGTGTATCAGAAGGCTTTAGCTTTCAGCTGTAAACACTGAAATATATTTTCATAAATCTTAAAATGAGATTCTGCACGTAAGAAGACATTGAAAGTTCTTGAGGGAGTCTCCACTTTGTGAAGTGGGGTAGTATTCTGTTTCCTGCCCATTGGTTGGTGAAGTTAGAAAATATGTTTTTGCAAAGCCACAGTGGACAAAATGGCATTTTTTAAACTGGAGTAGAACATTCAACATAACACAGCGGAAGCAGATGTCAAAGTATGGATAAATCTGTATATAATATGGAAGTAGCTTTTAAGTAGAGAAATTTAAAACCCTGTGTTATGGATAGCAGCAAGATTTTTGGCGGAGAACTGAAGGGCTGAATTAAGAAGACTGATAGCAGAGCAAGAGACATGGAACAAAGAGGACTTTTAAAACATTTTGAATGCCTTTGAAGCATTCCTTAGTGATGGTGTAGCCATCTGTTGATTGACATGTTGAAGACAGGTGGGAAGAAGGGGATCAGAGACTGACTTGACAGAGTTGTAGAGTTGGATATCATCTGCAAAGAGATGATGCCCTTTGTTGAAACTGGCAATGAAATCTCCCAGAGGAGCATTAGAAATAAGAAAAAAAGAAATAGAAAAAAAAAACCTCCTCTGAGAGATGCACACAGTCATAGTGTTCTCTCATGCATGCTAGTGTAGATTCAAAGCAATTCTAACTCTGGCTTCATTAGACTATGTCATGGATAACATTGGTGTGAGAGAGGAATCAATTCCATGTGCCTTCTGTTAAGCAGAAAACACTTTGGGCATCCTCATCAGGTTGTACCAGTTGTGGCAATTGAGGCAGATGTTTTGAACTTGTGTCTGAATGAATCAGATCTATTCAGCAGTGTATCTACTGGTAGGGATGTGTTTTTATACACAGGGGCTCAAATCTGGCCAAAAGTGGAGAAATACCTAAACTGAACCTCTTTATTCAGATTTTCCACTGAGAATTGAAACTGAAATCCTTTTTGACTGCTATTTCCTTGTTCTTGCTTGACATAGTAAGTACAGAAGCTGAACCTTTTTTACATTGCTTTCAATTCATGGAAAACAAAAATCTGTTCTAGTGTCTTAATCATTTTTATGAAATATATCCATCTGGTTTAAAGATGGTCTCCTTTAAAAATCCACTGAATAATTATTAAATATTAAAATACTGAGCATACAATATCCAACTGAAAGTTTAGTGATGTGGTCACACTTAGCATTGCTGTAAAAGACACAGACTATGCTTTAGGTAAGGCACTTGTTTAATAAGTGCAAGAGGGTGGTGGATTGATATAATTTGAGCCAATTAATAACAGGAGTGCTTGGGCCTATCAGCCCAGTGCAGTGGAGTTAGTGCACCATGCTGAGTGTGGAACCCTGGAGCAGACACTGAAGAGCCACATCCAGCTCTTGTTGCTCTGTTGCCTACAGCTCCTTTCTGACCTTGCTTCACTGGTATTGACTCTCAGGAGTGATGTTAGCAGTACTACCAATGTATGTTCCTGGCTAAGTATTAAAGTCTTCCTTTGCCTTTATTTGTCACTGTGTACAGTGACACAGGGCAGTGGTGTTCACAAGGAATATTTCCATTCCTAATCAGCATTTTGCAGTGACAGCTGGGCTTCTTTCTGATAACCTTGGGTCTGTACAACTTAGACATACAGGAAATAAAGAGATGTCTCCAATCTCCCTGTGCTAAAGCAACATTTCTAAGGCCTGATAAATGTTATCCAGAGGGAGACATATAACCCAGATCAGCTGTAACATGACTTAAAAGTGTTCCTCTCCACTACTTAATAAGAATCTCAATTAGTATTTGAAGCATACATAACTACATTTTAGGAGTCTAAAGTTAGATAGGATAAATGTTTTTGGAGTATTATATTTACTTGCTTGCACAGGGCTGTGTCAGATGTACTCTCATCTAGTCTCAAAAGCAGAGTCATCATCCTTAAACAGACTGGCCATTTGAGGTGGAACGTGTGCCCAAGATCAAAATACAGTTCACTGCAGGATCTTTCTGAGTCCTTATTCTGGAGCTTTTCATGTGCCTTTGTGCTGGTTTATCTGGGGTAGGGTTAATTTTCTTCACAGGAGCTGGTGTGGGGCTTGCTTTAGATTTGTGTTGAACAGGGAGTTGGTAATGGAGAAATGTTTTTGGTATTGCTGAGCAGGGCTTGTGCAGAGCCAAAGCCTTTTCTGCTTTTCCTACTGCATGCTGATGAGCAGACTATGGATGTGTGGGAGATTGTGAGCCAGGACAGCTGACCCCAACAGACCAAAGGGATATTCCAGACTATATGAATCATGATCAGTATATAAAGAGGGGGAAAGAAGGAGGAAGAGGGGGATGTTTAGAGTGATGATTCTTACCTTCTCAAGTCACTGATCTGTATGATGGAGCCCTGCTCTCCTGGAGATGACTGAACACCTGCCTGCCCATGGAAGCAGTGAATTCATGTCATTGTTTTGTTTTGCTTGTGTGCATAGCTTTTGCCTTTCCTCTTAAACTGTGTTTACCTCAACCCATGAGTTTTCTCACTTTTACCTTTCCAATTCTCTCCTTGATCCTGCTGGTGGGGGAATGAGGGAGCAGCTGTGTGGTATTTGGTTGATGGCTGGGGTTAAACCATGATAGCCTGTCACTCAGGGAAGAGAACTACAGTACCTCTTTTGAATGCTGCTTTAAGGACAATATTGCATTTTGATTAAGCTTTTGTTTTTGTCATGCTTTTATAATGCTTTTGCTGACATATTTCACAACTTTGAAATTTAGGCATGTGAAGTCCAGTTCTAACCTATATATAGGCACTAAAATAACAGTGTCCCGATTTCCTTATGTGCTAATTTAGTTGGAAGCAGGTGTGCTGAATGCTCTGACAAACCAGTCACTTTCATTTAAGTTGCTGTTATTGAAAAGTTTGGCCCAGTGAGTTCATTGAGGCTGTGCTGCCAATATGATGCTCCTTGTAAACCTGCTTATGGTATGCAGTCA